CTGTTAAGACAGCAGGTAAAAGTTGGTCTGTGTTCTGTCGGAGCTGCCTGCGACGCGCTGATGAGATCCAAAAAGATCGAAATCGCGATCCGCGTCTGGCAGTTTCGACAAAATACAGACCACTTCGAATTATTTTAAGCGAATATAAAGTTAGGAAACGGAAAATTAGAAGAAGTGACTAATTTTCGGTAACTAGCAAGTCAGATAATTCACGGTGAAATTGAGGATAGCCCAGGATCGAGGTGTAAAGGTGTATGTATGTCGGTGGGCGCTGCGGAAAAGAAAAGGTTAGAAGCGTTTGAAAAGTGGTGCTACAGGCCAATGACGAGAATGCCGTGGATAGAGATAGATTGGTAGAACGCCTTCTCAGGCATGAAGGACTAGTTAAAGACATATTAGAAGCAGAAACAGGAGTTAAAAGGAATAGAGGTGGACCTAGTTTAGTTTACTGCTCACGATTAGTTAAGGATGCGGGTTGTTCTAGCTTAAGGGAAATACGAGATTAGCTCAAGAGAGGAAAGAGTGGAGGTGCGTGTCTAATCACCTTTAGGACTGACAAACTTATGATGATTATTAGTCCTTATCATCATATCGACATCTATTGATATTTGATTCTACTGTAGCATTTCAAATGTTTGACTAGGTCTGAAGAAGAAAACTCATAAATAACTCTGAGGATGAGGAATTTTGCTGAATGAACAAGGTTTTCGCAATACAATGTTAATAATCAATGAGAATTTGATAAATTATTGGGCATTTATTGGGCACATATTATCCAACCTTGCCACATGATTAAAAAGACTTGCCCTTTTAATTAATCATCCTAGACAAAAGGTACGACTTTTATTCCTGATAAGGGAATAAAATCGGCAAGAGCACATCACAATATTAACAATCGCATTATGGACGTGTCAGGGTGTTAATTATTCAACCCCCGCCATCACCACCGCCGCAACCATCATCATTGTTCCGGGCGCCGCACCGCATCTGACCGACCGACCGTTCGCGTCCCATCCGCCGCTGATGGCCGGGCTCTTAATTAACGGTGACTTTCAAGTCGGACACCGCATAATCGTGATGTGTAAACCGGATGCGGTTATCTGCTCTCGGACAGAACTGACCCGGAAAAAGGATTAAAGATTAAGAGGTGTTGTTGTGACAAATGGGCGCTCAACCGGCCGGAAGAACGGACGGAACGGACAATGTTGCAAATACACACGTATTTAAACCGTAGAACCGTCACTTAAATTCACTTTGAAAGTCCAAAATATAGGGTTGTTCGGAAAGTCATTTCGTTTTTTCCCGACAGAGGATTTAATTGTATTCTTTTGCACCCAACTTCACATTTAAGCCGTATAATTTTTATATGCTTTGAGAGCTCATATAGCAAGGCTTGTGTGTGAAAANTAGTTTGTAGTGGGTAAATTAAAAATGGAAAAAATGATTTCAAATTAATATAGTATGGCAGATTTTCAAAAAGAAAATTACCTACAGTGTAGTTCAAGTTCAATTTATCAACTAATGAAAAAATTATTAAATTTGGAACATGGTTCTAATATAAATACACATCTTATACTTTCACAAACTTTTGGCTGCAGGCGTTAAAAAGAAGGTAAAAGAATGATGTAGCGCAGAGAAGCAGTGTTTTTTAATGGTTAGAAGGGTACTCTTTTGAGGAATTAGTGGTTGATTCCCCGTTTTCTCTGTTAACCCTTGAGGCTCGACTTCGTATCTCAAAAACGAGTAGTATTAAGATAATAGTGGCTGGAGAGGCGTTAGGTACATCAATTACGGCATCGTAGGAGCGTTTCACGCAGAGTAATTACTTTAATTAAGAAAACGGCAGATGGCGGCTTGAGGAGAGGTATCAGCGGCTTCAGACTGATGCAAATTACTCTTTTATGGTGGTTATAGGAATCGGGTGCCGCTGCGACGAGGCACCCGTTGGTTCGTCGTGGTGATTGCTGCTGCATCATAAAATTGCCGGCGTCTTTCGCACTGATTCCATTTACTACAACCGACGTGACGTTCGGCGTCGACGACGTCGTCGTAATTAAAAACGACGACGAGGTTAAAAAGCGAAAAGAAAGATATTTTTATGCCCAAAAGAAATGTTTGACGAATTAAATAACACAACAGTTGAACCAGAAATATCACCCCTATTTCAGAAATATTATCACAATGAGGATAATATTATAAAAAAGTCCTGAAGGAGTTAAGGAGATGGGAAAGTGTTTTGTTAAAGAAAGAAAATAAAAAATTCATGGTGTTTTGGAGAGTTTTATCTAGAAAAACTACCTAATACCCTTCTTACTTTTCAAATATACTCACACAAAAAAGTGTAATATACGTATAAGTGTTAAGGAAAGTTGTGTAGAACTAAGCAAATTAAAAACTCATAGTTTTTAGGAGAGTTTTATCTCAATAAAAATCACAAATACCATTCCTATTTTTGAGATAAAACTCTCTAAAAGTCTATATATACAAGAACCACAAGTACCTATTTTATTCTTGAGGTAAATTAACACAAACCAACAGCAATATTATTACTGTTAAAGAGAGAGTTTTGTAAAACGAAGAAAATTAAAAGTTCATGGTGTTTTGGAGAGTTTTATCTCAAAGAAAACCACAAATACTATTAGTACCTTTGAGATATATTCACGCAAAAAGAGTTAAATTACGTGTAAGTGTTAAGGAAAGAGTTGTAAAACGAAGAAAATAAAAAATGTATGGTATTTTGGAGTTTTATCTCAAAAAAGATCACTAATTTTTGAAACATATACACACAAACTTACTTGTGTGTGTAACGAAAAGAGTTTTGTTTTAGAGAGTTTTATCTATAACCACAAATACCTTTCTTATTTTTGAGATATTTTTACAAAAAAAAAGGTAATACGTGTTGGTGTTTTATAAAACGAAGATAATAAAAAATTCATGGTGTTTTGGAGAGCATCATCTCAAAGAAAACCTAAAATTTGTACATTCATAATCAGGATAATAAGAGAAAATAATATGAAAAATTTCTTCAAACAGAAAAAAAAAAAAATACCTACCTACAAAATTTCCAAGAATTAGAAATTCCACCCTCATGTCTCAAATTTCTCCACAAAAGGAGGATACATAGAAAAGGCTTGGCAAATTATGCGCATTTTCTTTGTTTATTGTCCATAATTAATTACCAATTTTACGAAGACCGAGGAAAAGTAAAAGATTATTAAAAATAAAACTCACCCATTGTCTTTGCCTGACACTTTATCGTGTTGAGGTAACGAATGTTGAGGTGGAGGCATGGAGTAGCATGGACCTGGTGAGTAGCCACTCGGTGGAGCAGGGTATCCCGTGGTCACCGCTCCTGGATAAGTGCCGCCACAGGAGTATCCAGTTCCGGGATACGAGGTGTAAGGATTCGTTGGATAATCCGTTGTTACAGGCGTCATTCCATATCCAGGATGTGGACTAACAGGGCCGTATCCTGAGAAACAATAGAAAATTAATGTGACAATTACCCAGAAAAGGCAGGATGATGACTGAAAAAACATGCATTTGAATAAATTATTATGATAATGATGATGATAGTGAAGAATTCGATGTGTGTACTTCAGGATCAATAACAGTAATCGTTAAAGGAAATTTTAAGGATAATGGAATAGGATAAAATGCCTGCTGTCTCTATTATATAACGGTGTCAATTCCAAGGTACTTATTGTAAGTGGAAATGATGCACATTATTAAAATTGGAGTAGCGATATAATACTAGAAGAATGTTTTAAGTGCATTACGTAAATCAGCTAATAAAACACGAGCAGAAACAGAAACATACAGATTCAAGATCTGGCATAGGTAGTTTGATATCAGAAAAAAAAGTTTTTACCGGTTGGTTGATGGTTAAAAAAAATGATGATAACAGAAAGTAAATAAATACAAACTGGTATAGTTAGGACGTTCAAAATTGGCACAGTCCGCAATAAAACTGTCACATTTACTTGCTTCTTTCAACTTACTAACTAGAATAGAGCGGTTGTTGACAGAACGCTTACTTTTACTCACGACAGACGTTGTAGGTAGGGAATATCGTAAACATAGAAAAGAGATGTCAGGTAGGAATTGCAGCGGGCGGACACTAATAAAGAAAAGGGAATAACATTACATCAATTGATATGTAACAGATAGAGATGCAGACAAGTAGAATTTGAGTATGTTGTCAGCATAGGACTTTAAAGAAAGTTCAACGTTCTCAGGAATTTAGGGAAGCAAAGACGTTTGTTTAAAGATATAATCTCAGTCAGGCAGTTATAAATCCGATCCTTACTTTTTCCTTACCTAAACAACCCCTAACAGCTGCACCGCTTACTATTATTTGGTTATCTCTTTTCACTTTGTCTGTGCTTCTTATGAAGCATTTCCTAACTTAACAAGGGTGTGTTCAAAACGTAGCAAATGACTAGAGTCCCAAGTGGGAACAAGACAGAAGATACGTCCCTTTCCACAGATAATTTATTGTGGACTTTGCCAATTTTGATGGTTCCAACTAAAGGTAGTTATTTTTAATGTTTACCGGAAGGGTCTCTGTAAGGGTCCATGTAGTGAGATCCTCCACTGTCTGGCGTGGATTCCCTGCTGTAACCGGATCCGGGTGGCGGTCCGATAACTGGTCCAGCAGCAAAGGTGGCAACTGGACGGACTCCGCTGAAATTAACCGGTTCATTAGCGGCGCTGAAGTCGACGGGTTCTGTTTGTTCGCCCCGCGGTCCTACGAAACCCTGTTGTACCGGTACCGGCTCGCCGTGACCGTTATGATATCGAGATGGACTAGTACCGCTACTGTAAAAGAAGAAGATCTGGCTGGATTTTCAGATTCGCCCATCTCTCCACGACACCATTTCGGGCGAGTCCAGTAAAATTTAGAAAAAAAAACCAACCAACGCATTCGGCGAACAAAATCTTTTTTTTTATCTGCATCAATTTAGACCCCAACAACATTAATAAATAAACGAACAACCTGAATGATATCCTGGTGGGGGTTAATTTTTTGTAGATAGCTGTATTACTATTAGAGTAAGTGATTAAATTTGTAAAATAATTTACCGCGATTGTGGCGAAGTTACAAACGGGGCGCGGTTCGCGATAAATAATGTAGACAAATGTACACGGACGTGGTTAAGCTAATACTGACCTGTGGGACAGTCGACTGACGCTGAGGTCTAGCGTTTGGCCTTGTGGGCTGGGCACCTGGGGACTGGCGGAGGACAAGTGGGGACTGGCGGCAGCTCGCGGGCTTCCTCCCATCCGCTGCTGGCCTCCGTACGAGGAGTTGTACGCCACCTGAAACACGTCGCCACCGCCGTCGTCGTTATGACATTTTAATAAGCATATCGCGTGGTGGTCAACCACGCAACCAAAACCCCGACTCTCGTTTTGTTTGGTCGGTTAATTATTCACACGTGCGGTGGCAATCCATTGCCTGCAGTCCGGCACGGCCCGGCCGTCTCTTAATTAACAAGACCTAAGTCCGTTATTGTCGCATAATCACTACGAGACCGTGTAGCTACATTAACCTGCCTTTTGAGGGAAAAAGGATTAAAGATTAACTGGGGGTGTCATTGGTCAACGAGCCGCAAAAACAGACGCGATAAGCATACGTGATATGTGGCAAAAGACGTCAGCTTTTCGGAGAATGCGATTAAGTAATGTTATTGCTGGTGGATTGTGTTGTAATTTTAGTGTTCGGGATTAGAAATATCAAAGTATTAGCATCTTGCAAGGAGGAGTTAGAGATAAGCTTTAATAAAATTAACGCGGTATTGACAAAACAGTATTATATGAAAATAAATAAAAGTGAAACAAAAATTACTGGTATGCAAGGGAAGAAAAAATAGGGAAAGAGCGAATATAAAAAAATAAAGAATACCTAATTGGAGTACTGTGGTAC